ATGGCCCAAAAAGATCTAAATGGATCAATTGTAATACTCTACAAGTGGATACGTCATTAAAAGAAATTCGCTTTTGTTTTCCTTTAGCACAAGCATCACAAATTTTATCATTATCAAATTTTAGTTTAGGCAACCCTCGAACTAAATCTCCTTGAATTAACCGTTGCAAAACACTAATACTAGCATGTCCTAGTCTCATATACCATAACCAACTATCATGCTCATCCTTAGCAACTAGGCATAAATTAGTCATATCTATAGAATCTAAGTGCACCATGTAAATGTTTCCTATTCTATGACCAACAAGCATAATCCGATTTGATGCAATGTCAATGACTTTACAACCATTAGTTTCAAACATGATATTGAATCCTTTATCGCATAATTGGCTAATACTCAATATATTATGCTTTAATCCATTCACATATAAAACATTTTTAATTTGTATGGAAGAGGTATTACCTATTGTACCTATACCTTCGATGTGACCTTTTGAATTATCACCAAAAGTCACTTCTCCTCCATTTTTGGCGTTAAGCTCTATTAACCAGCTCTTGTCTCCGGTCATGTATCTTGAGCGTCCACTATCAAGGTACCATGAATTTGAATTTTTTTCCCGTGCCTTGTAGCAATGCTCCGTTTCCTACAAACATAGATTAATTTTTGATTTTTGGTACCCAAATTCTTTTGGGTCCATATTCATTAGTTTCCAAAATCCTAGTCCCCTTAGGTATCCATTTGTGTAATATATCCTTATGTTTAGTAGTAATGAGTTCTTTAGGAACCCATATACTTCTAACGATTTTTCCATTAGAGGTTCTTCGGGACCTCTATGATTGTAGTTTTTAAAACTTTTTCTAACAAAGTTGGATTTTGAATTTTCTCCATTTTCAAAACGTTTTGTTCCAACTTTATCAAAAGAAGCTTTAAGATCATCAATTTTCTTTTGATGATCATCATTGACCTTTGAAAGTAAATTATGCAAATCAGATTTTTTCTTTTCAAACTATTCTAGTTTGATTTGCAAATTTTTGATTTTACTTTCAAGATCGTTATTGGTCTTGGATATGATACTATTTTCATTTTTTAATTTTGAAATACCATTTTTATATTTTAAAAACAATTTCTCATAATCCAAAGCCAACCCATTATATTCCTCTAATAACTCATCATAAGATAAATCATCTAAATCAAATGAGTTAGAGGTTACCTTAGAATCTTTCTCGAATGCCATCAAGAACAAGTTTGCTACTTCTTGTTCCTCTTCATCGGAACCTTCTTCATCACTCCATGTAGCCACGTGAGCCTTGTGCTTATTCTTTGATTAAACCTTTCTCTTCAATTATGGGCAATCATATTTGACATGCCCCGGTTTTTTGCATTCATAGCAAATGATCAGGTCCTTCTCTTTTGGTTCATTTTTGAAGCCTTCATTTCGTTTAAATCTTCTTCCTCGGTTAGGTCTCATCATTTTTCTGAACCGTTTGGCAAACACTGCAATTTCCTCGTCATTGTCATCTTCATCAGAATCACTCTCATCTTTTGTTGATTTGAGAGCAACTCCCACGTTCTTCTTCTTCTCCGTCTCCTTCTTTTGCTCGTCTCTTTTCTCAAGGTCTTCCTGTTCTTTAAGCATCATTTCATGCATGAGGAGAGAGCCAATAAGTTCATCGAGGGTCAAGGATTTTAAGTTCTTAGCCTCGATGATCGCCGTCTTCTTTGATTGCCAAGCTTTTGGAAGAGAGTAAACTAACTTCCTTACAAGCTTGTCATTTGGAATGATTTCTCCATATGATTTGAGACTATTGACAATATCGGAGAATCTATCCGTCATAGCTTTGACATCTTCATCCGGTTTCATCCTGAAATTTTCATAGCTATTAGTTAGAAGACTAATTTTAGATTCTTTTACCTCGTTTGTGCCTTCACGAGTGACTTGTAGTTTGTCCCATATCTCATTGGTGGTTGTGCAAGATGAAACTCTCTCGTATTCATCCGGTCCAAGAGTACAAAAGATGATATGGATAGCTTTGGAGTTGAGCTGAAACATTCTTGTCTCTCCTTCACTCCACAATCTTGGGTGAGTTGAGGGTTTGATATATCCATCTTCTATAATATTCCATGCTCCCATGTCACTTGCTTGAATGAAATGCATCATCCTATTCTTCCAATAAGCATAATTAGCTCAATTGAAGAAAGGAGGCATGTTGACGGGCAATGAATCAAGACCGAAGTCGGAGATTAAAGTAGAGACCATTGATGACTTGATTATCGATGTATCTCTTCCCGAATCGACTCAAGAGGCGATTAAACCTTCAAATGAGTGAGGCCCTGATACCAATTATTGAGTTAATCGATCAACAATATGGCCAAGAGGGGTGAATTGGCAATTAAAAATTTTAGTGGAAGCTTTTGCAGAAAATTGAAAGTAATTGCGCAGCGATTTAGAGTGGTTAGACTTTCTCAACCAAAGTCTACGTCCACTACCTTAGCTATCCACACTAAGGATTTTCCACAAATTCACTAATTTTTCTTTCTTTTAAGGACAAAGAGTAACCTTACAAATCCCTCAAGAATTATACCCCAAATTCTTGAGAACACTCTCTCCCAAAGAGAACAATACAAATTTTGCAAACTTACAAGAAAATCCTCACAAGGCAAGATATTTGCACAATTATAGAATAAAGAAAGAACACTAAAGAATAATACAATTGAGCACAATAAGTGTTCTTGAAAGCAAAATGAATATTGAATGAAATAGGCTTGAAAAACCTCACAAGGTAAGATGTTTGCACAATTCTAGAACAAGAAAATAACACTAAAAATGATTAAAAATGAGCACAATATGTGTTCTTGAAAGCAAAATGAATATTGAAGGAAAATTGGCTTGATTTTCACAAACTTAGTGTTTGATGTTTTCTCTCTTGTCTCTCAATGATCTTTTATTGATCAATGGCTTCAGAACTTGTTTAAATACACATTGGGATGATTCTAACCGTTGGGAACCATTTGGATGAAGTTAGAGCCATTGTAGTGTGAAAAACCACTTAAATTTGTCTGCTGGGAGCGGGGGTATCGGTACCTCTTCATAGGGTATTGGTACCTGTAGTGTAAAATTGAAATATTTCGACCAATATATGCCTGAGGGTATCGGTACCTCCTGAGGGGTATCGATACCATTGCATGGGTGTATCGATACCTCTGGGGGTATCGGTACCATCCGAGCATTCTGTTATTTCTCGGAACCAAAATGTTCATGGGGGTATCAGTACCCTATAGGGTGTATCGATAACATACTAAATAAATTTTATTTTTGGCTCGAATATGGCTCGAAATACTTTGTAAAATTTGTTTCAAAAATATTTTAAGATTGAAACTTAATTTTACACTTGATTAAGGATTGAAATAAACATTTGAAAATTTTGGAGTAATAATTTTCATATTCTAATATTTTAATCGAATATATAATTCAATATAAAATCTTAAAATTCATTAACACTTAATTTGTTATATCGAAACTTAAAAATGTAAATGTTTTCAACAAACAACGTTTCAAACTTAGTAACCTATGTTTCTTTAACAACAATTTCTATTAAATAGATTTGTCTACTTTGAAATTAAACAAACCCATTTAAAAGGCAAGATAAATCTCAAAACTGAATTTTATTTGCTTATCTCAAATTTTTCAAGATTTTCGGATCGTCTCAGATTTATTTTTTCTAAAAATGTAGAAGATAAAATCTGTTTTAAAATTGTTAGAAGTAAAACAATTCGAGACAATACAACGATAATAATAAAATATATTAAAAATTATAAAACAAATTAATTGGCACTTTGGCCGCTTTCCACCGCACGCAATACCAATCAATTGGTATTCTAAGGACAAAACCAAATTACGTGTGTGCGATAATAAAATCAAGTAGATCCCATAAGCCAATTAATAAATCTTTTCCAAATTGCAGCAAAGGATAATCGATTCCATGGCAAGACCTCGTCTTCGTGAACATGGATCAAGAATAAAAACAAAATGATTAGTGAGATAAAAAATTATTCTATTAAATAATCGAAATAAATATAAATAAATACACGATTAGAACTGGAACAAACGATTTGAAAAGAGTTGAGTCTTGGAACTACGTAGTTTCATTAAGACATATTTTGTCTCTCCTTGTGCTCGAGATCTTTGGTCGTCTGTCTCCCATAATACAACAATGAAATGATCAACGCATAGTAACTCAATTGCCGAGATCATGAACTATTTCTTGCCTTCGTCTATCACAAAAAAAAAAAAAAAACTAGAGGAGAGAAAAACCTTTTAAATAGTTTTTGAGTTGTTTGAATTGTGTTTAACCTAATAAGTTTATATGATATTTATAGGGATTTCACATTGTGAAGAATTGAAAATTTTTAACCTAATGAAATATTAATGAAAATCAAACAATCAAACAATTTCCAAAATGATTGTTTTGATAACATTTTAACATTTATCCTTCTAATTTCAAAATAAATTTTGAAAATACATATGCTCTATTTGAGGAAAATTTTTTACCTTTGGATTAAAATATCCGTAAACTCACAAAGGGTCCGTCGGTTTGGATCTTTACGTTACCCACATCGTTTAGGTCTGCACATTTACGAACAAACAATTAATTTTACATTTTCTTCAACAATATTTGAATCAATTTCTCATTCAAAATTTCAAAATTATCAAAAAAAATTTCAACAATATCATCCATCAAAACATTTGAAAACACTTGTAGATTGTTCAAATATGTATGTATTATTTCCGGTTTCGTAATCGAATTTTGTTCTCTTGTTGATAACTTTTTATTCACATTTCGTATTCAATTATACTATCAAGGCTTACGCAAGCACAAACGCCACTGCCACTCACGGGCCTCGCTCGAAAGTTAAATTATTAGGATTTTGTCCATATTTCCTTTCCCTAGCTATCCCCTTAATTTCCCTCAAAAGCAGTCCACGTTCAATCTACTTTAAAACCAATATAAACCAACCTTCTTAGCACTCCACTTACCATTTTCAACTACTCTTTTATTACAAAACAAAAGAAAATACAATGGGCGAAGTTGATCCAGCTTTCATCCAAGACCTCGAACACAGGCCAAAACTCGCCACCATCGAAGCTGAAGAAATACCATTGATCGATCTTAATTCGGTGTTGAACTCAGGTGACGCGGTTTCGGACACTACTCTGGTTTCCGACATAGGTGAAGCTTGTGAGAGATGGGGTTTCTTCCAAGTAATAAACCACGGGGTGCCATTGGAGAAACGTGAGAGGCTTGAGAAGGCAGCCAGGGTATTTTTTAACCAGCCTTTGGAGGAGAAGGTGAAGATCAGGAAAGATGAAGCGAAGATTTTAGGGTATTATGACTCCGAGCATACCAAGAACGTTAGAGATTGGAGAGAGGTTTTTGATTTTTCAGTGCATAGTCCAACCATAGTTCCAGCCTCAACACGCCCTGCTGACAAACAAGTAGCTGAGTGGCATAATCAATGGCCTGAATTTCCTCCTCAACTAAGGTAACTATTATCAGGGTAAACTATACCAGACACCACTTAACTTTAGCACCTGATTCGAATACATATTTTATACATAATACATCTCGTGACTTATAATTGTTTGACAGAGAGGCGTGCGAAGAATTCGCAGGGGAAATGGAAAAATTATGTTTCAAGTTGATGGAACTTATTGCCTTGAGCTTAGGCTTGCCGCAAGATTCTTTTAATGGCTTCTTCAAGGACCAAACCACCTACGGTAGGCTTAACCACTATCCACCTTGCCCTGCTCCGGAACTGGCTCTTGGCCTTGGCCGGCACAAGGATTCCGGTGCCTTAACCATCCTCGCTCAAGATGATGTCGGAGGATTGGAAGTGAAGAGGAAATCAGACGGGGAGTGGATCCTAGTTAATCCTACTCCGAATGCATTTATCGTTAATGTTGGTGATGTTATTCAGGTAACTCGAATCAACTAAAATAATGAATGCCTACGGAAGCTCGATCCATAAACAAATCCATAGAAAACTGATGGAATAATTTTGCGTATAAATAGGTTTGGAGCAATGAAAGATATGAGAGTGTGGAGCATAGGGTGATTGTGAATTCTGAAAAAGAAAGATTTTCGATTCCCTTCTTCTTCCACCCGGCTCATTACACCATGGTTAAGCCGTTTGAAGAACTGACAAGTGAAGAAAATCCACCCAAATACAGGCCTTACAACTGGGGAAAGTTTCTTGTAACAAGGAAAGGAAGTAATCTCAAGAAGCTTGATGTCGAGAACATCCAAATCTACCAATTCAGGTTTTCGGAATCCGAGTTAGCCAACAGCTTAGAAAGGTGGTATCTGTGGCATAGACAAGATGCAGTATCTTAGCTATTTAATTACATGTAAAATTATAAGTATATTTCTCAGTCATATGGTTTAGTTAGTACGTGTGCTAGAGCAAAAACTTCAATTCTCTTCCTCTCGTCTATGTGTGTTTCAACGATTTCTTTAATGTTAATCCAAAGAATGCTTTCTCTTTCTCCTTTCTGCTTGATGCGATAACTCACCCACTTCTCACCTACTCCAAAGGCCTTCATTAATTTGTCTCTAAATGACGAAGCCTTAGAAGGCTTGCAGTATATTCGGGCCGCTCGAACTTCTTTGATATTGAGTAAGTCATGCATTCTTCTACAGTGAGAAACATGTCATGTTGATTGAAAATGAAACAATAATATCCTGGATTCCAGAAGCGAGCCATAGCATGAAGAGCGGTTCATCCACCTTCACATACAATAGGCAGGTGATGTCACCATACAACTATTGGAAATGTTGTTTGGTCTCGACAGTCCAACTGTTCCACACATTTCTAAGTCCTTGTAAATCATTTCGCTTGCTACTAAAATGAGTCTTATTTGACAGCCCTGATACGAAATCTGGTGATAAACTGTCTCCGAATTTTCGCAATGTTATTTCTCCTTTCCTCTACTAAAACGAGAAGATCTTCCTCAGCAACAGAGGCGGCGATATCACTGTCCATAATGGTTCAGTCTCCTTCGATTTCCAACTCATTTTTATCATTATACCCGCACGACAAACAATCCTTTGCAATGCCTGAATCAATTAATGTGTCATTTTTTGAGGATCTACACCATCCTCTTTGCTTTCCTCCAACAGAAAGTTCTCCGGTGTATTTTTAGAAGGATTTTTCGACGAGGTTTGTGTCCAAGTTGATCTCCCTTCTGTACTTATTCTATGCTTCTATTCAAGGCCTCCAGCCTTCTGGATAATCGAATTGTCTTTCAAACCTAACTCACCAAACCTGATTCCACACTTTGAGTTGCCTACAACACTATCTACTATCTCATCAATCCTTGAGATCGTGCATGTTGAAATAAGTAATGTAGCCTTTTTGCAATCCAGTTATTGGTTTAAGTTTTTTCCATATGCTTCAAGTTTTCCACACACCTCAACGATCCTTTTGTGTGTTATACTGTTCCAACAGTGAAAGGGTATGCTTGTCACCTCCAACCAGGTTGTTCTCTCTCGTGGTAACATCTTTTCAGACCATAATCTAATTTCTAAGAATATCACTTTTAAGTACGACCATTGTAGATCTTCCAATAGTATTAATAGGTCTTCGTCCTCAATGATGAGCAGGAACGATTTACCTCTCAATCGCTTCATTTTGATTTCTCCCAGCCCTTATTGTTATAATCTTGTTTCAATACTGCTTACACTACATACGATAGCCATTTCACTAATTAAGCATTTCCTTGCCTTCAAAAGATCTAAATCCTCCACATGCCCAGAATGTTTTTTCTCTTCTCAATCTTCTGGGGGTTCTGTCACACTAGCCCCACATCCTAGTATTGTGACTTCTAAATATTTAGATTTATCTGCCTCTCATCATATGTACCACCATAAACCAATACAACACACATTCGACCGATTAGAATGCCACACAAAACCATTGGATTTATCTGCCCCAAAATTTTTCTTAAATTATCAATTAAAAATGACCATTTTCACAAAGAAATTCATCCATGGAATAAAATAAAAAAAGTTTTAACATCGGGGAGCTCTTAAAATACATACATAAAAATATACAAACCAACGTTTCAAAATAAAGTTACTTCTCAATTTTACAACCAGGGTCCATAAATATACATGCCCTCTAAGAAATAACTCGAGACGTATTCTGCTCTGAACTCGGTCTGGAAACTTGGATGCTCGAAATGCTCCTAGAAAAGTTCCACTTAATCTGCGTAAGGAAAAAATTCCAAACGCTGAGCTTACTAGTCCAGTGCTACAATAACAACTAAATCATACTAAAGGTGTTCAGTAAACGCTTAAACTATCAAATCTAATGCATCATGAGTATACTTGTATATCCACTTTCTACTTTATGGTAGACATCATGGTGCGGATGAAGGATGAGCATCTTGGAGCTCACGCACCCCTATAGTCTACCGAGGATGAGGCGTAGAACTCTACATCTAACAAAACACCCTCGACTAACCCACTCCTCGATAATGTCGGGCCTCGGCCCTATTTAGTAAGTTTAAAGTGCCTCGTGCACTACCTAAGGATATCCAGACTGATTCTACTCATCAATACTAGTATCACTTACTAAAGTAACCCGGGTGTCTTGATCGTTTCCCAAGCATATAAACAAGGCTAGTTTTATATAGCCCTAATTTATCTCGTTTCTAATTGTAATTAACAATATTCTGATTCCCAATTGTATTCTTACTTGAGAGGAATTATAGAGCTTTTTGGAAACCTCATATCTTTTAAAACCCCTTACTATCATGCCCAAAATGTACTCGAGTATCGATACTAAGCCTCTCGGTATCGATACTACCCTTTGAGTATCGATACTCATATCAGGGTATCGATACTTTACTGCTAGACTTTAATGAAGGAAAAGAAGAGAAGTAGTATCGATACGCCTATGGGGGTATCGATACTCAGTCCCTAGTATCGATACCCCATAAGGTACCGATACAAAAAATGCACACCGGAAAATAATTTCGATACCAAGCCCCATGGTCTCGAAATCGGGACCCCAATATGGATACTCCTTAAAACTCTTTGATTTTATGCTTAGCATAAGAACAATATCGGTACTGTTCTTACAGTACCGATACTTATCCTCGAAAATGCCCTATTTGGGCACGAATTGGCCACTCAAACTCACCCAAATTGTTGTCTTGAGGTTCCCAATTAGTATTTTAGTCTTATGTGATAAAAATGGGTCATAAATAAGGCTTTGAAACTTGCTACAACACCATTGTATAGAATCTACCATGGAAATTTTACTAACATACTTCAATATCAACTCTTAAGCTAGAATGCATTTCTAGTGACCCAAAATTAGTATGAAGGAGTTGTAAATGTGTTACCTTGAGTCCTAGTTGTTGAAATCTCTCTCGAAATCAACCAATGGTCAATTTCTCATTTCCTATAGGTTTTGAGCTTTCCCCCACTTTCTTCTCTAATTTAAAGCAAGAAAATAAGTTAATAATCTATCTAGGGACTTAGGCTAGAGTTAAAAACACTCTAAATAACTTAATTTCACTAAAAAAAATAGTTGGAATCATTTCATTCCCTAAAACCTCCCAAAAACCCATTTTAAGAAACCATAACCAAAACTTGAGATATGAGGCTTAAACTGAATCTTGAAGGATATGGGATAATATTCTTAGCTTGGGTGGCTCAAAATAAAATTGAAATTCTTAAAGTCTTCACCTTTAACTTAATCTTAAAGGAGGAACAAAAACAAAAAGAAGAGAATAGGAAAATAAGAAAGAGTGTTTGGTAAACTTTGGGAAGGGCTCACGTTAAAATACCTAAAACATCACAAACCTTACTCTTAGGCCCAACTTAAGACCAATTCTAACTTAATTTAATCCAAATTACTTTAAAAGGTCTATTGAACTCAACTTATGAGTCTCGAGTTGACCCGAACTACTGACTCGGGATTCGGGGCATTACAACTCTCCCCTACTAATAAGAAATTTTATCCTCGAAATTTACCTGGATAAAAGAGTTGTGGATAGTGCAGCTACATATCTTCCTTAGTTTCCCACGTAGTTTCCTCAACTCCATGGTTCCTCCATAGAACCTTCACTAGCGGAATCCTTTTGATTTTTAACTCTTTCACATCTTTGGCTAAGATTCGGATCGGTTATTTCTTGTAGGTCAAATCTGGGCTTAACTCGACTTTCTCTACCGATAGGACATGCGAAGGGTCAGAACGATACCTTCTAAGCGTGGACACTGAAACACATCATGAATACACTTCAATTCTGGGGGTAAAGCTAAGCGTCATGCTACTGGTCTAATTCTCTCAAGCACGTCATACAAGCCTATGAAACCCAGAGTCAACTTTCCTTTACGCCTAAAACGGAGTACTTTCTTCTACGATGACACCTTGAGAAATACCTTGTCACCTACGGTAAACTCAATAATCTTGCGTTTTAAATCAGCATACAACCTCTTCATATCAAATTCCTATTTTAACTGACTCTAAATTAACTTGACATTTTCCTCGGTTTCCCTGATCAAATCTGGGCCCACTAACCTCTCCTCACTAAGCTACATCCAAAAAAGAGGAGTCCTACATTTGCACCCATACAACGCCTCGTATGGAGCCATCTGGATGCTGGGCTTCTTGCTATTATTGTATGTGAATTCCACTAACGGTAGATGGTCTTCCCTAGAACCATCAAGATCTATAACAATGCACCTAAGCATATCCTCGAGAATTTGAATAACGCGCTCTGACTGACCATCTGTTTGAGGATGAAATGTGGTGCTAAAATGGAGCTTGGTGTCTAAATACTCATGAAGGGATTTCCAAAACCAGGAGGCAAACCTAGGGTCTCTGTTTGATATGATTAAAGTCAGAACTCCTTGCAACCTGACTACCTCACGGATATAGAGTTGTGCTAGCCTCTCTAAGGTGAAATCCATACTAACTGGCAAGAAGTGAGCCGACTTGGTTAACCGATTAACTATCACCCAAATGGCATCGTGCCTATACCTCATCATCGATAACTCAGCCACAAAATATATAATAACTCTGTCCCATTTCCATTGTGGTATCTGAATTAGCGGAAGTAATCCCGATAGAACTTGGTGTTCTACCTTGACTTGCTGACATAGTACATATTTCGCAACAAACTCGGACACCTTGCTCTTCATGTATGGCCAACAGTATATGGGTCGAAGCTCTTAGTACATCTTGTTGATACCAGGGTGAACCGAAAATGGACTACAATGGGCCTCATGAAGGATCTTACTATGCAACTGCTCGACTGCGGGTACATATAAACGTCCCCTAAAAAACAACACATATATATCTTACAACTCAAACCCTGGGGCCTCGCCTTGGTAGACTTGCCCCACGCAAGCCCTTAGACGATTATCTGAACTTTGC